CAGTGTGCCCCTTCCTGTCGCAGTTGTTACAGTGCATCTCCCTACAAGCACCATTGTGGTGAAAGTTGCACTTGTTGCACTTGGGTAGGGTTCCAGCATATGGCTTCGGTGGTGGAGTAGTGGCAGCATTAGTGGCAGCATGGACAGCAACAGTTTGTTGCTTCTTAGCGGGGTCCTGTGCTGGTTGGCTCTTCTTTTGGTTCCAGAACTTCCTTTTGTTTGTTCCCCCTTTTGATTGATCATGGTGGTGGTTGTGTTGTAGTATTATGACCGGCTCGGTGGTCAACAAGTTGTTGTGCCAGCTCCCTGGCACTGTCAAAAGTAGTTGGCCTTGAAGCCAGGACACTACTTTGCACTTGGGGAGACAGTCCCCAAAGGTATCGCTCCACCTTTTCTCCTCCGGAGTAACCATTGTTGGGCAGAGGAGAGCCAATTCATTGAATCGGGTGGTGTAGGTTTCAAGGTCGGAGCCCGTCATCCTGAGGTTCCAAAGTTCTTGTTCCAGCTTTTGAATCTCACCTCTCGGGCAGTAAGTGAATTAAATTTTTTTCTAGGAATAGTTCCACCAAGTAGGGCCCGGCCGGTGAAAGTGAAGGCTGCGAACTTAACTTTGCTCGCTTCGGGGCAAGAGCACACCTGAAAGACTACTTCGGTCTTTTCAAACCATTGCATTAAAGTGATGACTCCCCCGCTCCCATTGAAGTTGTCGGGTTTGCCATTGGTGAAGTCTTTGTAGGAACACTCTCTTGCACGCCACGTACTGTCTCCGTGGTTAGAGTTTGTAGCACCCGATCCAGAACCACCAGCTCCGTTTGTCCCTATCTGCGATATTGCGGCCGCTACGGCTGCTGTTACTGCAGCCTGGAACATCGCAGGATCAAACTGTGAGGGGGCAGCGACGGAGGAGGTGTTGCTGTGTTGCGAAGGTCTTGGTCTTCTCCTTGGCGGCATGGTTCTGTCATAAGTCGTAAACCAATGTACTTTTAGTAAAAGTATATTTATAGGAAGAGAAATTTTTATACAAACGTATATTATTACGTTGTTTTCCGGTATGTTTACGATACATACGATTTTATACTTTTAATTGACCCAATACATTGGGTTATGAGGTAAAATGAAAGTATAAAATATTTTTATTTGAGTTTCCTTGTTTCCAAGTATATGACTGTTTGTAAAAGTTCACATATACTAATTAGTCGGGACATAATTAATATATTATATTTTAAAATGATCTTTATCGGTTACTTAATTAGTTGCAAAGTGCATACCAGTCATATGTGATTAAGATATAATAGTCCTTCGAATAGATGACCCTAACTCCAAGACCACAACCAAACAAGGACAGAAAGTGAAACAAAGATACATAAATTCTAAGTCTATAGCATCTTAGTTACATATGACCTTAGCGCATCCACTTAGCAGCTATTGATCTATAAATAAAGACCTATTAATTCTCAGATAATTTATTATAGTAACACAAATACTCCTATAGTATTTGTAAATGTTTAGTTTTGAGTTCTTAAAGTATCCTTTGTAGTGTGTTATTAGGTTTGTTAGATTTGTTGCCCATCCTGACCATCCCCCGGTATATGCAAGTCAATTCCCGGACAGATATAGTTGATCAGGCTATATCCTTCCCAGATTAATCCACATATACTAAGGCATACTCAAAATGTTCAACTCTTCTTCTTTTGCTTTATGTTTTCGCTAGTTATGATACCATGCGAGCATGTAATGTATGTATGTATACTTTAATAATCATTTATTTGTATATCTTATGTGGTTTGATATACTTAATTCACTATAAACTGTGCTCTGATACCAATCTGTCACACCCCCAACCAAGGATGGCGGAAACGTCCGGGGGTGGAGGACTTCATGTATAGTATCATAACAACAATTGTAATAGTAATTGAAGCAAACACAACCAACATATATATAATTGAAGACATCATTGTATGAATTACATGTTTACGAATCAATTACAATATGTTGACAAAATATGAAATAGTAGACGCCTTAGCGCCCCATCCTCAAAAGCACTTGGTTACCTGTTTAATGATTTCCTGAGAATACAAGTTGTTTGAAAAAGTGTCAACACAAAGGTTGGTGAGTTCATAAGCTTTTGTTTGGTATTATTAAAAGCCTTTCGTTTGTAAAAGTAGTATTTGTGTTAGAAAATCCAATATTTTCCTTAATGTGTAAATGTAGTCTTAAACCCAAAGACCGAAATGTACAAGTAATTTGTCATATTTATAGTAAACAATGCAAGTTTAAATCGACATAAACTCGTTAAATTTTAATGAAGTTCCCGTAAATTCCAATGTTTATTAATACTTTATGTGAGTTTATTATAACCATACTATGACCAAGGTTGCCTAAAACGACGTTCTTCAGGCGTCGGAAATGTTATGACATTTGTCACCCCAGACCTATCGGTCTAACTGTTGCATGCAGTTTAGGTGTGGGTTTGTCAAACCCAATATAGATCTATACACAACTATCACGCTCTCCCTCAAGGAGACTCTGGTTACAATACAGGACTTAATGGTAATTTGAAGTAAATGTCTCACAAAGTCATTAACGGAATTACGTGTTATGAAAAAACTTGGTACCGTATGGCCGTACCTTGCTTAATGAAAATATCCTTTGTATAAATGTACCCTTTTTAAATGTATGTGTTATGTAATGTATCATAAACTATACCTACTATAGTTTATCAACCAAGGGTAGTACGTAGTAATGTATGCAAACTATATTCAAATAGTTTATTAAATGTTTGAATGTATCGGTTGTACTTTGATTATAATCACTTGTTATTCTTTATATTTTATATGTCCAAATCCATTTGTAAACTGATGTGTGTCTAAATATTAAGATAAAATGTCATATATTGCAATAACATATAATCACATAAAGATATACACCTTGCTCAACATGTTACAAGGTGAAATGAAATTGACAGCAACTTTTCGTTGAATACAGTTTCTGTTACTGTTCTTAGAAATTTATAGAAAAATCATCAAGGCTCTAAATCCAAATCCGCAAATTCTGAGAGTTTGGAATATGAGTCTAGTTTGTTCGTAAATTTTATCATGATTTTTAGTGATCTCTAACAGAGGTGAAAATATTCATAATCACAGACTGGTCCGGGTTTGCCTCTGAAATGACAGGCACTTTTGTAAAAATCACCATAAATTGTAGAAAACTCATATGGAGATGTGCAAGTAGCCATTTTAAAGCTAAGAGTTTGAACTACTTGCACCTGGAACAGTTTTGAAAACTAAAATATTTAAGTTGACCAAAACAGTCCGTGATCGAAGTTCATCTTTTCTGATGTAATCTGATAGAAAAAGTTTAATTGTGTTCTTGATGATTTTACTTGTATTCCCCCTTTAAAACTTAAGAAAAACATGTAAATGTAAGGGTATGAACTCACCTTATGTGGTTTCAGTAGATGAAAGTGAGAGAGAGGAAGTGTTCAACCCAAGAACACTAAGAAGATGTCTTGATGATTCGAGAATCTAACACCGAATAAGATGGAATTTGTGTAAGATATCAATGATTCGGGTGGATGGAGTGTAATAATTATATGAATGATGAAGATACTTACTAATTGAAGGAAGAAATCCCTGAAGAAAGCCTTGAAGTTCTTGAAGTTGAGAGAAAAGATGAGAGAATTTTGGAGAGTGTCCTTTGGTTGCTAAGTGTAGAATGAAAGAACTTTATGGAGAATGAGGAGAGAGGATCAATCCTCCAGCTCTTAGAACGTGGGAAGAGCTGGAGATTGGGTGTAAAGGTCCACTAAGGAGACAAGGGGTAGTGGGAAAGAGTGGCTAATCATAGAGTGAGGTGGTGGTGGTTTGCTTTTGCCATAAATTAAGGAAAAGCAAATATTCCCTCAATAATTAGTTCAACCACTAATTCTTTTAATATATTTTTATAAAAACCCTGGAGATTTATATATTTTGGGGCCTTAGTTTATAAAATAAAGTTTTGGGTGAAAATACCACGTTAAAATAATGAAAAACGGAGTTAAAACGAAGTCGTAGTCGAAAAACCGGTAAAAAGGGGCCGTCTGCGAGACCTCTCGCATGGCTGTCTGAGAAGCTTCTCATGCGAGGCTTCTGTCCTGAGAGGCTTCTAATGAGAGGCTTCGGTCCTGAGAGGCTTCGGTCCTGAGAGGCTTCGGTCCTGAGAGGCTTCTAATGAGAGGCTTCGGTCCTGAGAGGCTTCTCATGAGAGGCTTCGGTCCTGAGAGGCTTCTCATGAGAGTTTTCGCTTCTAATAGGAGAGTTTTGGTTCCTTAAGGTTATTTTACCCGTTTTTAACCCGTTTCAAGTGGTTTTTGACCCGGTTAAGGGTCGAGATGACCCAAATGATTACAAAAAGTTAAAGTAACTTTTGAGAGAGATTCGGGAGAGATTTGGGAGAGATTTGGGAGAGATTTCAAATAGAAAGAGATAGAGTGAAAACGATTTAGAGAGGTTTCGTTTGTGATTAATTTGAGTGTCCGGCTTCACAACGCAAGGTTCGTAAACCCCGTTAAACCGTGTTTTAGTGTCGTACACAATCCCGATGATTGTGCAATAGTGTTTTATCGCTTTGGTTCGTTGTTTAGCACTGTTAAGGCTAAGGAAAATCAAACACATGAACTTTCCAAATGATGATTTCTCATTAAAATAGCGAATTGTATAGTGATTACATAACGTAAACCCTAACATACAAGGGTTATTGGAGTTGACCGGTTTGACTTGTTGACTTTGTTTGACTTTGACTTGACCGAAATTTGACGGTTGTCACAAATTTTCGGCAAAGTTCAAGCATGTAATTAAAACTATATTTTTTAATTTTTTATAAAACATTGATCTTATTATTATATTTTAAATATGTTTTTAAAATCTAATCACATTTTCTTTTTTTTTGCAAATTCTTTTACAGATGTTTATACCATTGAATTTCAAAAAAGAGGTTTGCCGCATAGTCATATATGTCTATTCATGCATTCTGACAACAAGCTACCAACTGTTGAACTTATCGATCCGATAATTTCAACAGAGATAGCAGACAGAATTGAAGATCCTGAATTGTATTTACTTGTGAATGATTTTATGATTCATGGTCGATGTGGAGCTGAAAATATGAATTGTCCATGCATGGTGGATAAAAAGTGCTCTAAAAACTTTCCAAAACAATTCTGTAATCATTCGTCTGTTGATCAAAATGGTTTTCCGTTATATAGGCGAAGAAACGATGGTCATTTTGTAGAAAAATCAGGTGTAAGGTTGGATAATAGAAATGTTGTTACATACAAAAAATATCTATTGAATAAGGTTGGATAATAGAAATGTTGTTCCATACAAAAAATATCTATTGAAAAGATACCAGGCACATATTAATATTGAATGGTGCAATCAGGGATCTTCTATAAAGTATTTGTTTAAATACATAAATAAGGGTCCTGATAGAGCTACAGTTGCTGTTGTACCAACCAACAATGAATGTGAAAATAATGATGCGGTCAATGAAATAGCTGAATATTACGATTGTAGATATTTATCAGCATGTGAAGCATCATGACGAATTTTTAAATATGATGTTCATTGCAGATATCCTTCTGTTGTCAGACTACCTTTTCATCTTCCTAATCAACAGCAGATTGTATATGGCGAAGACGATGATATTGATGATGTTCTTGACAAACCTTCTGTTGCGGCTTCAAAGTTCACATCTTGGATGGAGTGTAATGCAATCGACAGTGAAGCACGAAAACTCACATATGTTGAATTTCCTACAAAGTGTGTTTGGATATTAAATGGTTGGTTTTGGAAGCAAAGGAATGTAGGAAAAGCCATCGGTAGAATTCATTCGGTTTCACCTAAACTAGGTGAAGCATATTTCTTAAGGATTCTTTTAAATAAAGTAAAAGGTCCTACATCATTTGATGAAATTTGTACGGTAAATGGTGAAACACATTCTTCTTTTAGAGATGCTTGTTATGCACTCGGGCTATTAGATGATGACAAGGAATACATTGATGCAATTAAAGAAGCAAGTCATTCTGGATATGGTTTTTATCTACGCTTATTATTTGCTACATTGTTGATGTGTAATAGTATGTCTAAACCAGAGGTCGTTTGGGAAAATACATGGGAATATTTGGCAGATGGAATTCTATATAACCAACGACAAAGATTTAAGTCTGCAGGTATTACATTTTTTTCTTATTTTTTATTTAAATTAATTTCTTTTTATTATTCAACACCCATTAAATAATTAGTAATAAAATTATTAAATATCGACCACATATTTTATTAATTATTTAATATTTTCGTGCAGAATTGTCACTCGGAGTAGATGAACTTAAGAACTTAACTTTGTTCGAAATAGAACAAATTTTACTTCGAAACAACTCTACCCTCAAAAACTTCAAAAACATGCCATACCCAGATGTTGAATCCGTTTCTTCTTCAAACAATCGACTTATCACCGAGGAGCTAAATTACGACATTCCCGTTATAAAGAATGACTATGATCGTATGTTTCTTGCATTAACAAATGAGCAACGTAACATTTTGCTAAACATCATGAGTGCTATTCAAGAAAATAAAGGAGATGTCTTCTTTGTTTACGGTTATAGTGGAACGGGTAAAACTTTTTTATGGAAAACAATATCTGCAGCAATTAGATCGAAGGTAATATTGTTTTAAATGTTGCTTCAAGCGGTATTGCTTCCTTATTATTGCCCGGTGGTAGAACAGCACACTCTCGATATATAATTCCATTTGAACTTACAGAGGATTATTTTTGTAAAATAAATCCAGACGGTGAGTTGGCTAGCTTAATAAGAAAAACCTCTTTAATAATTTGGGATGAAGCACCTATGGTCCATAAGCATGCATTTGAAGCTTTAGATCGAACTTTGAAGGATTTCTTAAGGTGCGGAAATTCAACCATCTCAAATATTCCATTTGGAGGGAAAGTTATTGTCTTTGGAGGAGATTTTAGACAGATTCTACATGTTGTTCCGGGTGGCAGTAGACAGAACATTGTAAATGCTTCTTTGAGTTCTTCATATTTATGGCAACATTGCAAAGTCCATAGATTAACAAAAAACATGAGGCTAACTATTGGAAGGGATCAATCTGATATAGGAAAAATAAGATATTTTGCAAATTGGCTATTGGATATAGGAGAAGGCAAACTTGGTGGTCCGAACGACGGTGAAACGATTATCGATATTCCGGATGATATTCTCATTAATGATTCACATGATCCTATAGGTTCCTTAATTGTGTTTGTATATCCTTCAATTTTGGAGAACTATAGCGATATAAATTATTTCCAAGAATGAGCGATACTTGCTCCAATAAATGAAGTTGTCCAGGAAATAAACGACCGTTTGCTTAAGAAGTTTCCAAGAGATGAAGTTGAATATTTAAGTTCAGACAGCATATGTGACTCCGAATTTGTCCATGATCAATTTGATGCAAATTTATACTCTCCTGATGTATTAAATGGTCTCAAAGTATCCGGTTTACCAAATCATAAGTTAGTTTTAAAAATTGGTGTTCCAGTAATGTTACTGAGAAATATTGATCAGAAAAACGGCTTATGTAATGACACAAGACTACAAGTGTTATCATTGGGCAAACGTGTTATTGAGGGATGTATAATAACTGGAACTAATATTGGAAACCGGACTTTTATTCCAAGAATGTCTTTAATTCCATCATAAAAAAAGATTCCCTTCAAATTCACAAGAAGACAGTTTCCTTTGGCCGTATGTTTTGCAATAACTATTAATAAAAGTCAAGGACAATCGTTATCAAATGTTGGTTTGTTTCTGAAAGATCCAGTTTTTTCACATGGACAATTGTATGTTGCCTTATCTAGAGTTCAAAGCAGAGAGAGATTAAAATTATTAATTTTAGATAAAGATGGCAAACTCACAAATAAAACTTCCAATGTTGTTTATAAGGAAGTTTTTCGAAATTTATAGCCAACTTTTTTGTAGCATATTTTATTCATTTTTAGCAAATCACACTTAATCCATCATATTACTTTATTTATTTATAATTACGTATTGTTGTATTTTATGTTAATTTCATTACACACATTGGTAATGTATCATCTGCGTATGTCCAACAAGAATCATCCACCAAAAATAAGGGTTTTCAAAAATCTCCATTTCTAATTAAATACTTACCATTTAGTTTGTAATTAAATACTTACAAATCAAAAATTTATTGAAAAATGCAATATTACAATTCATAAGTTATCAAAATTAATGAAATATTATTTTATTAAATAATTCATTTTTAAATTCAATTAAAAATCAACACCCGTAGGTTCCACGGGTTTTAACCTAGTCATCCATTAAACATCTATACAACCTCATTCATAACCAATAAAACACTATTCAATCCTAATCATCATTTTGTTTCTTCTATTAAACCACTAATTGTGAGAACCATTTATTACACGAGTTAATTTAAAAAAAAAAAGTTAAATATAAATGTCAAAATATTTGAGAACTTTGAATTTATAAGAAAATAAGAAAAAATAATGAATTATTATAATGTAAATGTTTTTTTTTTAAATTTAAATAAATAAATAAATAAACTAATAAGCTTTAATTTTGGGAATTTTGAAATTAAGAAGGTAAGTTGATTAATGAAATTGATATCCATTTATTACTATATTTATTACAGTTATTACATTAAAATATTATGTGAAATTTAATAAAATAGAAAAACTTATAAAATAACATGTGAAAAAAAATATTCTAAATAACCACAAAATGACATTTGACAAATTGAATAAAAGTGTGACAAATAACAAAAACATTCATTTATTAGAATAGATTCAATAAACATTCAACTCCTCCGTTCAACCCTACTTTATGTCATCAACCACACTCAATCCAACCTATATTCAATCCTAGTTATCACCCTATTCAATTCTTATATTACTTGTATTGTGGATGTTCTTAATAGAAAAGAAAAACTGTATTAACATACAACTCCGCTTCAACTCCCAATCCCTGCATTATAAATAAATTCTTTCTTACAATGCACAATTTGCATTCTCAGATCTCGCTACGATTTTTTTTCGTTTTTGCGCTCAAGTTTTTGAGTTACGATTGACAGTCTATGAGAAGAAAACAAAGTCTGGAAATATGAAAATACATTAATTAACAATCAAACCAAATTTGCTTATTGTCTTGAAGGCTATGATGTAACAAGACAAAGATGTGACAAGACAAAGAAAGCGAGTAAAAATAACCTCAAATAAAGGCAATCAAATTTTATTTTCTTATATGTGTACTTTTTGATTTTTATTAATTATTTTCCAATTAAATTTTATATGTTTTATTCATTGTTTTCCAATTAAATTGAAGGAAAACATAGATTGACAACACATATTTCTTTACGATGATTTATGACTTGTGAAGAATAATAAAAAAGTAATATAAACATTTTGTTTTGCGACAATGATTTGAGAAGCTAACGAAGTTTCAATTTTATTTATATTTAGTTATTGAATTTATTTTCGTGCCTGATTTACCCCTAAATTATATGAAATTGTTCACATTTTACCGTTATGACCGGTTATAACCGGTCATAAGGGTAAAATATAAACAATTTCAAATAATTTATAGGTAAATCAAGCACAAAAAAGTTTAATGACTAAATGTGAACAAAATTGAAAGTTTGTTACCCTTTCAAGCCATTATCCTGTAAATGGTTCTAAATATTATTAAGAATCAACTCAAGGTGAATAGGAAGGTCACAAAAGTGAGTATGTTGTAGTAATCGTTTGATATACATTTATTATATAAGCTACTAAAAACAACACTTAGAAATACAATAGAAACGACTTTAATCACATAGAAATTGAAAAAACAAATATTGTTGTGGTTTTAGAAATATACTTAGGATATAGGCAACAGTTTTCACTTCAGATGGTGGAAACGGTCGTTGTAGATTGTGCGATTACGAGAGAATATATAATAAATAAGCGTGAAGATAATGCAGTGTTAAATTTGAATGAGGTTTATCTCTTTAAAAAGACATGAGCTTTGATTCAAGAGTGTTGATGTATATGATCAATGTCGTGGAGTAGTATATGAGTAGTCTAGGTGCTAGTTGCCTTTACATTGTTTGTGCATTTTGCTTAGTGTTCATTGTTTTTATGTTGAACTTGTTTTGTCGATATTTTTTTTCCTAGTTATTATTTGTATTTACCTTTTCTATTTGTATGTTGGTTCTATATGTACCTTCTCACCATGCTCCTTTTGATTTCATTTTATTGCTCGTATATGTGTCTTTTTGCCTTTGTGAAACTCTATTGATTATATATTCTTTATGGGTTGGCGTTTCAATTATACGTGAATAAAGAAACTCTAGTTAAAAGTTTATCTCATTGACTAGGATTAAAGCAATGAACTACAACATGCTTATGTGATATGCATTTTATTCTGTAATACTCTTTACAAACACAACAAAAAACAAAACTTAGTTACTGAAATCAAAATTATTAATCTAAGTAATTGATGCCAATAAGCAAAATAAAATAAGAGATTATTACAAAAATGAATAATGACTTGAAAGGGTAACAAACTTTCAACTAGTTCATACTCAGTCACTGAACTTTTTTTCATGCTTAATTTACCCATGAATTATTTGAAATGTTCACGTTTTATCCTTATGACTGGTTGTAACCGGTCATAAGGTGAAATTTGAACAATTTCAAATAGTTCAGGGGTAAATCAAGTACGAAAAAAAATTTTAGTGATACCCCCTCAAGTTATTATCCCTTTGTTTTTATATTGCTTTTGTGGTTTTATAGTTTGTTTATAAATATTTTATCAGTAAAAAATGTTGTTATGATATTTCTACGTGCAATGTATAATATATTTATATAAGTGTTTTCTTAATATAATATAGATTAGTTATTTAATTTAGAATTTTTAAGTTTAGTGTACTTAATCGGTAGCATTATTTTCATTCAATTTTTTTCGTAAATTATATATTTTGTATTTTTTTTATCGCTTTATCTATTTCTTATTTATTTATATTATCCCTTTAGGTGACTAGTATAGAAATAACATTTTCAACACTGACTTATTTTTATGAAGAACAAGTTACGTCATAGAATAGATTATCGGTTTTTACGAAAACTCTATATTTTTAAAGTAGGTGTCAAACATATATTATAGATCACTTTCAAAGTAAAAAAAAAAGGTAAATCATACGCACCCAACCAGAAAATGGTGGGGTCATATACGTTGGTTATATTAGAAGTAAATAGTAGAGTTAAATTTGTATTTTGCATGTAATTCAATTTGATCGCTATATATAAGTACTGTTTGTGTTTTGTTTAATTGCTAATCCTATCACTTTAATATACAACAATATAGTTATATACATGAAAATAGCTTATAGCTTTAAAAATAAGTTTTGGCGAATGCAATTGAAGCATCGATTATGGGTGCTTGTAGATTTTGAAGAAGAAGAGAAAACAAGTTATTTTTTATACTTTCTCATACAACGATTATTCTTTAATTTCTCTTCCCCATATTGCCCTTTAGGGGACAACGTCCCTATGACACCTCTAAATTATTTCTCTTAACTTCTAAATTTTGTGACAATCAAATTCACCTTTCTTCAACTGTAACGCATTTTTTTTGCATCACAATTTTGTA